TCGGTCATATGGGGAGTGTACTTGGCTTTCAAAGTGTACGACCCAAATGACATGTCTCGAGCCACGATTGGAGCTGGCGGTGACGTTGATGGCGATGAAACCCTTTTCCTGGAAAAGATTGCTCTGAAGGGGCTCCTTATCTTACGGACATGTATCAAAATGGCCTTTTATCCTGCGCACAGCTTCAAGTATCAACATGCCCAGGATAAAGAAGAAAAGAGTCAATCTATTGAATTGATCAAGTCTCAGCTACTGACTCACGACTTCGTAGCGCAGGTCATGGAACTGGTTATAACTCGGTTCTTTGTCATTCATGCAAGTGACCTTCAACAATGGGAGGAAGATCCCGAAGAGTGGGAGAAGCGCGAGGATGAGATTGCAGATGCATACGACTTCTCCATCCGTGCTTGCTCCGAAAAAGTATATCTTGATCTCCTCATCCACTTCAAGGAGCTTCTTGTCCCCAAACTACTACAAGTGTTCTATTCCTATGCCAGTGAGTCTTTCCACCTCTTGGGCTCAAAATGTAACATTTTCTTATCGTCTTCTAGACCCCCAGAATCAGGAAGTTTTCTTGAAAGATTCTCTTTATTCCGCTATCGGCCTTGGTGCTGCAATATTGGAGAAGGAGATTGATTTTAATGCATTTTTATCATCAACCCTTATCCCAGAGGTCCAAATTCAACAACCAGGGTATAATATACTTAGACGAAGAATAGCAATACTGCTCGGCCAATGGGTGCCCGTGAAATCCGACGAATTAGATGTGTCGTCGATTTACCAAATTTTTCAACATTTACTGAACAAGAACGATCCTGCTAATGACCAAGTTGTTCGCGTAACTGCTGGTCGCCAATTGAAAAATGTTTTAGAGCCATTTGATTTCAGCGTTGACCGGTTCTTGCCCTATGCGGCTACCACACTTCAGAGCCTCATGGATCTAATCAGCGAAGTAAGTCTATCGGAGACGAAAATGGCACTTCTTGGGACGGTTCGCGTTGCTATAGTGAAAATGGAAGACCAGGTACGCCGCGTTTCAACATTGTCCACAACCTAAAGATGCTAATCCATAACTAGATTGCGCCATATGCGGACCAGATTATCTCCCTATTACCACCATTGTGGGAACAATCAAACGAAGAATATCTCATGAAGCAAGCGATCCTCACTTTGCTTTCTTCCTTAATTCATTCCATGAAACAAGAGTCCATCCGATACCATCCGATAATTATTCCTCTCATCCAAAAATCCGTAGTTCCAGGATCGGTATGCATTCCCCTCTCATGTTTAGATTCCCTACTAAATGGTCAATAGGAGGCATTAGTTTATCTGTTAGAGGAAGCCCTGGACCTCTGGTCTGCCGTCCTCATGCAAGCTCCATCTCCAGCCTCGCCTGAACTTCTCCAGCTTTTACCGTCTCTCTTCCCTGTTTTTGACATTGGCACCGAAAGTATCTGTCAAACTCTAGAAGTCACCGAATCCTATATTCTGCTTGCTCCTCAAGAAATTCTCAACGATCATACCCGTTTCCAGTTACTCGTCTCATTGGAGGCCCTCCTTAATGCGACTTCACGACAGCGTATTGGAGTGGTTCCACGTCTTGCTGAACTACTAATCCGAGCAGTAGAGTTTGTCGATCCTGGAAACGAACAAGCTTATTCGATCGTCGCCAAATCTCTTCTAGACTCTTCATTCCTTCTCACACTTCTTTCTGGTCTCCGTGAAACCTACGAAGCCCACCTCACTACCGGACCAAATAAAAAGTACCCTGAGGTCCAGGGCGTTGTGGAAACAGACTATTTCTCTGTCCTTGCGAGGATTGCCCTATCTAGCCCCAAAATATTCCTGACATCCGTTGTATCTGCTATGGGCCATTCATCCGAAGAAGAATCAGTCAACTGGATATTAACAGAGTGGTTTTCTCATTTTGATAACGTGGGTGATATTAATCGCAAGAAGCTACACGGGTTGGCGTTAACGCACCTCCTCTCCATCAACGGCCCGTCAACACCACCCCCAGGCTACCTTCTTAACCATCTACAATCTTATCTTGTCGTGTGGACCGACCTCATTAGAGAACTAGCTGAGGGTACCGATTATGATCCTAGTGATCCCCGGGGCGGCGATTACCTCATTGTCTGGAACACAAACGCGGCAGGAGGTGAAACCGATGGGAAATATCATAACAACGAGCCGCCAGAAACCACCCGTCGACGTGCCTGGAGTAATGCGGACCCCGTGCACAAGATCAATTTCCGCCATTTCGTCACAGAGAATCTGCGGGGAGTTGTTGGCGCGTGCGGTGGGATTGTTAAGTTTAGAGATGAGTGGTTGATCAATGTTGATCAGGATGTTGTAAATGGCTTTGGGGAGTTGGGGGTGTTGTAGATGGGGGAAGTGGAAAGTGGAATCAATGATACCCAAACCCCGTTGCTTTCTGAAAGGACGTATTGGCATATTTCTAGTCTGTGCCCTCTTTTTTTTTTTTTTGTGGCCTTCGGTCTTCTTAAGTTTCAAACCATAGCTGCCAGCTCGTTGAGAAACCCGGTCATCGCTGGGAACAATCATTTGGGTTGCTGTTTCTTCTGCTAAAAATTAGGGGAAATAGAAATGCACTCAGTCCCGCGTAAATTATACCCAGTGGAATACACAGCCTTCTGTGTAGTTATGGTGTAAAGTTGTATGTGACCAGAAATTTGGCGAAATGTCATCAAATTGGAGGATGCGGCCTTGTATGTCGAAATAACAACGTCCATCTCCATACATTCCGTACACGGACGGCAAGTACTGATAATATCAATCACTTCTATTAAGCTTGTTTGGTGCATTAAAAATTAAATTACTAGTGTAAATGGCCCTTCACCATATCGCACCCCAAGCTCTAGAGTCCCCTCACTTGCAACCACCATACTTTCTATTCGTAAACGGCTGCGGGAACAAGCCCGCCGATAAAAGGTCCTGCATATCCCACCCAGGCGATCCTTCCGTCTTCCACGTCCAGAAGAACCACCCTGCACCCAACCCATAAGCATCCAGCTGAGCCTCAATAAACCGCCGGATTCCCACTTTCTGCTGATCAGGTAGCTGCTTCACCGAGCCAAAGTACCTTCCACCACAGGCACCCGAGCGTTTGCCGTTAGGAAATGATTTATCAAACCGCGCACCCTTGTCCCTACCATTGAGATACTTGGCGCAATCTGTCATGGCAGCACTCCACTCTCCAACAAAAGTCTTTTTATCCGTTTTCGCAACCTGCTCACGCCCATACGAACACGCGAGGTTGACATGCTGATCTACGCTAAAGCTTGTGAACGCATTATCGAAGACTTGGTAGTGGTGGGCATCGAGGAAGACATTATGAAAGTTTTTGGACGGGAGCATGAAACCGTTCCACGAACGGAGATCTTGGAATGCGTCGGATATTGCAACGCCGACATTGGGGTTTATATCCCGCACGGCCTTATAGCCTTCGTGATAGAATTGCTTGACCTCGTCGAGCGGCACACCACCCGGCACGAAGGGCTCATTGAGAATCTCAATAGAGTCTACGACGTCGGTTTGGTCGGCGTAACGCTCTGCAAGTGCGCGAAGGGCATTCAAGGTTTGGGCCACCGTATTGCCTTTAGGCCAATTGATGGAACCGCGACGACCGCTGTTGTCGAAGCCGTTTTGGGAGCCGGGAGCTAAGCCGTAATAATGGGTCAGCCGCTTGGAGTTGACCTTCATCCATATTTCGGGAGTAAATTTGAATAAATAACTAACCACCATGAAGGTCAATCGCAACTTTGAGGTTTGATTGTTTGGCCCATCTAATCGCCTTATCTAAATAACTGACTTGACCTTGGACATAGGGCTCTCCCTTCAGCGGAGCTACCGCCCAGTAGCCGATGGGAATCCTAACATGAGTTAAGCCGGCAGCAGCAATCTGCTTAAAATCATCTGCAGTGATCCATGAGTTCCAATGTTTTGATAGTCGTGATCTGGCATTGCCTGCGAGAATTTGGCTCAAAGTGTACTCATCCACTGCCCGATCCCCTGCTTCTTCGAAAACAGAGGGCGTTATCCACGGCTCAAGTACCAGCCAGCCGCCGAGATTCACACCATAGATCGATGACTTATGCGTACTCTGGCGAGGTACAACGTGGGTCGCTGCAGATGCTATGGAAACCCATGTGAGAGATAAGCAAACGAAAGCCAGCTTGAGGGGCTTGAGTGACGCCATACTCTATCACCCTCAGAAACAACTTCAAAATCTATAGTCATAGAGGACAGGACGCGGAGGGAAAGCGGATATTCGTATGGATTTATACCATTGTGACACATCCTCACACGGTGCATGTAGAACACAGGGTCATACTTACCAGCAATGAGTCTAGGAAAGCCCAACGCAAAAACAGGAAATTGATAGACATCTGCGACAAGGAAGGAACAATCTCACAAGCAACTTACTCCCAGCGATTCAATGCTGGCGTCGTCGATCGACTGAAGTCATGATGGTTGGTAAGCTTAATTGACCAACAGCGACGAATGGATTTCCCGCACCCCCACAAGTCAACGAAGAAGTAAGTATTTCAGCACTAAAAAGCCAAAGTGAGGCAGGCGCCCAATTGGTTCATTCCTTGCCCAATCTGTGCATCTGTGTATCCATACCTCAGGTCGGGATCCATTTCGCCAATTTTTCAATAATCTCGCCATGAGGGCGTCACACAGAGTAAATGCTAGCAGTGAAAAACTTCAACTACTGGACGCCACAGAGTGATGCATTCGTTGCAGACAGAAACATTGACACCCGCGGGTCAAGGCTGCGCAAAGCGCAACATCATGAAAAGATGCGGAGAAATTCGATGTCAGGGGAGAGGATCCACTCCTAGCTTAACAGAGACAAACTTTTAGACTAGAACTAGGGGCAAGAATCCTGTGGGGATCTTGACAAATATAGGCCAAAAATTTTGAGCATTCAAATACTTGGTGCTCAAGGAATTTTTGGAACCATTGTCAATTTATTATTCCTGTATGGTGTAGTAGTGTTAGCAATATGATAAAGTGTATGCTACACAGGGGTTCTACCTGTGCTCACGACTTCCTGAGCAAGATTAAGTTTTTTTTCCTATCCCCTCGTCTTCGCTAGGACACAATTAGTGTATTTTTTAGTGTGTACATTAGTGTATTAAATACATGGAAACTACTGGATAATATGAGGCATCAACTATATTGATGTGTTTTAGTGTAATTTATGTAATCTATTTGATCTAGCTTTAATTAATACTATTAGAATGGAACTCCTTCCAACATTCTTTTTTCAAGCAGAGAGTAATATTGCTACATGCTGTACAATCATATCTTGATCTTGAAGTTTTTCCTTTATTCCCTTCTTCTCTTTTTCTTTTATACTGACACCAGACACAAATTTAAAGAGATGGCAGAGAAATTCACTGATGATTTAAATTTAAATTTAATTAAATAATAGATTGAAAGTTTGAAAATTTAAAAAATTGAAGATAAAGCTGTTGATGGACTTCAACATAAGATATAATAATGTCAGTAATGTCAGTAATGTCAATAATGTTAATAGTGTCAGTAGTAATTTGTAATGCACTCATTTATTGTTTTCTTATTATATTATATTTGTTTATTCTTACCTCTTTTTATTATGTTCTTATTACTGCTATTTATATATATATATATATATATATATAAATGTATGTATTTCATACATCTTCTTTTCTCTTTCTTTTCTTTCTTAATGATTAGCTACAACTATTACTATTATTATTACTACAATTACTATTATTATTATCATTCACTACATTATCATTCAATTGTTCACACTGTCATCAACCCTCACAGTTTCTAATCATTCAATCTTTAAAAGATGATTCATTGAGTAATAATCATAACTTCTACTCACAGCATTCATCATACTCATACCACTGCTGAATCAGAAGCAATAATCATCAATGAAGAAAACTGTAAAATATATATCTCTATTATTGAAAGTGTACAACAAGCATCATTCTTCTTTATAAAGTCAGATTCAGAGTATAGTTCAGAAAAAGACATTTTTTTTGAAAATTTAAATGCAATTGAAGCTGAAAAAATAGCTGTGACTAGAAGAATTAGAAAGTTACAAATTGAGAAAAAATTGTGAAAACTTCAACATTGATGCAATACTTTATTGCAAGAGTTGAATGAAACAATCTCAATCATTTAAAATACATTCAAAGCATATTTGAATCATGGTAGAGATGCAACTAGTGTGAATTGTAATTGTGAAAATATCATGAACATTATCAGATCATCAAAATCTATATTATAAACATTTAACATTTTAATGAGAAGCGCTACTATCAGGGAGAGATGTAATTGAATACCACTTTAACAATTAGAACTTTGAAATTTTGATATAAGTGGTCATCTTTCCCAGAAAAATATGAAAAAATTCTGAGATAAAAGCATGAAAGAATTTGAAAACTTTATTACAGCTACTATCACTTTCCATATCAGTGATCTTAATTATTACAATAAACACAACCATTGGAAGATCATTGAAGCCGTCACTCATTTCAATGTTGAGATGCAACAACATTGATATCAATATACATATGATATGCAAATTTTGCCATCATGGGAAGAATTTATCAGCTGAATGCAATGTTAAATCATTGATTCAGATAAAAGTTTTTGAGATGTAGATAAACAGTACTGAAAAACAAAGCAATAAAAAAATCAAATAATTCAACAATTTATTTCATATTTACAATCAATTGAAAAGCATCTGCAGCATTTTTATAATGAATATCATTGGAAATCACACCTCTATATGAAAGTTCTATCTTTCATTTGTCAAGAATTTGATAAATATGCAATCAAATTAGAGACGTTAAGTTATGATGTCACTCTTCATAAACTTGCAATGACAGAATCAAATCGGTTAAAAAAACAGAAGAAATTTAAAAAGAAGTTAAATTTCAAAAACCTCATTTAAAACTTTAACAACTGTATCTACGCGTGCTCTGTTTTGTTTTCCTCTCGTTTGCCCTTGTCTCTATCGGCTCAAATGCTTCTTCTTCCTTCTTTTCTTTGCTCTCTCTGTCATTCTCTGCTCTTTTCCTGTCACAACCTTCTTCAGTGCTCTCTCCTTCATTATTTATCTTGTCTGTCTTTCTTCTGATGTTAGAAGCACAGACAGCTTTCTGATCAACTGAGAGAGGTATCCCTCTCTGCTCACTATAAAGCCTTCCAGGCACGGCAGCGGCGGTCCCCTCAGGGAACCACACTATAGCCCCACCATGAATGGCCATACGTCGGGCCAGAAGTGGATGCGCAGCTCAGAAAAATCCTTTGCAATGAGCTGAGTCTTCTCAAGAGTTGCCACCTGGATTCTGTTTTCTCTCTCTGTGTACATAGAAATCTCTCCAGCGTAGCACGTCTCCATGCCCTTCGGGAGGCTTCTGAAACACGGGCGCTGCCCGTGTTTTCTCCGGGACGTTAAACCTATACATACATACATACATCTACAAAAATAAATGCATGTCTATGCATAATACATCTCAGAACAGGTGTATCACATATCTAACATCATTATCAATATATCAACATTGTTAATAACATTATTTATCTATTCAAATACAAGTTTGCAAAAGAGGAAAGAAAAAAAGAAAATAGAAATCAAAAAAGATTATTTATAAAGTTGTAGACTTTTTTTACAAAGATATAAACTTTATAATGTTTTTAAATCTTGAATCTCAACACATATTAAAAGTCGACATCTCTCAGCTTGAGAGCACAATATTTATATAGAATCTGACTATTATGCATCACATAATTAGAGCTAAAGCAATACAATAAATGAACAGTAAATAATGCTATATAGAAACAAATTAATGATGTATGTGATTACATTAATAACATCACTGACAAAGAACATCAACAATAATACATGATAAGCATCAGCTGAAGAACAACTTACTTAAAATCGGAATATTCAACAGAACTCATTTGAATGAAAACAGAACGTGGAAGAACCCATGAAGAAGTTTTAAAAATTTTTTTGAAAATGAAAAAATGGCAGCAGAAGAGCAAGAAGTTCTGATGATGATTAAATTAAAAAAAAAGAAAAATTTTTTTAAAAAAAAGAAATTCTTTTTTGCTTCTCTGTATACAACCTCTAACAATCAAAAAACTCATCAATTTTATCTTATTAAGAAATTGATAACAACATATATACAAGCTATCTAAAAGGTGTGAAGCAATCTATACAAATTGCTGAAAGCAGCTCTTACAAAAAAGAGAGGCAATTGTAATGCACTCATTTATTATTTTTTTATTATATTATATTTGTTTATTCTTATCTCTTTCCATTATGTTCTCATTACTGCTATTTCCATATGTATATAGATATATGAATGTATGTATTTTGCACATCTTCTTTTCTCTTTCTTTTCTTTCTTAGTGATTAGCTATAATTACTATTATTATTATTATTACAATTATTATTGTTGTTATCATTCACTACACTATCTACTATCTTCCACTATTCACTTTTCACACTGTCATCACCCCTCACACAATTAGTCAATGAAGAATATAAGTATTGACAATAGCATGATCAATAATTCAATATAGAATTGATAATTAGATGTGATTAATGAGTATATGAGTTTTATAAAAAGTTTTATACTGATTTGCTAGATCAATCTCATTCATATTATAATTGTAATCATTAATAATGATAAAAATCTTCACTGCTTTTTATCAATTATTTTTAAATATTTTTTCAATTTGAAATTTATTAATAGAAATCAATTCTGAGTGTTTTTTAACACATTCAACAAAGCTATTTGACAGATGAATTATAGAGAGTAGTAATATTATATTATTATCTTTTCATTTAAAACAGAGAATTTTATTTTGAGAGATGATATACAAAATATTGTAAAAAGTATGAATAGATAATTCAGAGTTTTTTAACTTTTATAAAAAAAAAATAGATTAGCAGAATGAATGATTTCAAATACTTCAATTTTATGTTTTTAAAGATAATAAAATAGAGTAACAGAGATGAAGTAGTTGTTCATATAAATTGAATAATCAATTATCTTTTTATTGTTATTCAATTTATTCAATACTCTGCTACTCAATACTCTATTGCTCAATACTCTGCTGTTTAATAGTTTACTGCTTAATGTTTTACTGTTCAATGCTTTGCTGCTCAATGCTCTGCTGTTTAATACTTTGCTGCTCAATACTATGCAAAAATACTGATAATTATTCAATCAATTTCATCATAAAAGATTCAGTTTTAATTAATTCTGAAGTATAAAACATTGTATTATTATTAATATTTTTTTATTATACTTATATACAAATAATGTTTATGATGAATTCTTATGTAATGTTAAATATAGACAAGAGTTGATTATACAGAAGAAATGCTTAATGTTGAATGATGTCAAGAATATAATAAAAATATAGAAAAATTAATGAAACACAGAATTTGATATTTATGATACAGATTTTCAATTCAGAAATAATAAGCTAAATCAGATAATAGATTCATTTGAAGATATTTACTTGACATGTTCACATTTCTTTATTTTAGAAGCTGAGAAGTTGATTCTGAATGTAATATTATTTTCTTGTGAGTTTCAAATTCATGCATCTTGAGTCCCCACACCAAGGCGCTACCTGGTGGCCGCATTACCCATTCGGCCACCGGGGCTACAGAACATTATATTTATACAGAAATTATTATAAAATATAAAAAAGATTTAAAGATAATTTTATTTTTCCAATTCAAAAATCTTATATCATTTATTTGATTGATTTCTGAAGTATTTTAACTGTGTATTTAAATTGTTTAAAGAATTAAATCATCATTTTATTAATAAAGAGATTTGAATTTGAATTGTAATGTTTAATATACTGTATAAAAGTTGAAGTATAAAAACTTTAATTTTTATATAAAAAAAAAGAAGAATTCTTATCTGTGAGAATTGAATATATGAATATATTTTTTAAATTGCTCAAATAATTTTTATTTCATATAAAATTTTAATGAATGAATCAATTTTTGAACATTATTTCTATTTCAATAATCTTCACTTATTGAAGATTTATATACTTTCATATAGATAATTTGTTCAAAAACATAATTTAATTTTTACAAAAATAATTGAATGTTAATTCTGTAAGTGGG